TCTTTTGATCAGATTGACAGCTACGGTGAGACAATCTCCCGTAAAAGCTACGTAAAGGTACGTGTTGTGATGTCTGTGTTTGCTTCCCCTGTCGCGAGTTCGGATCACTCAGTGATGATATATAGGCTATACCTAAATAATCTGTGGAACCTCAGCTTTAATCGGATATCTTGTATCTGCAGCTACGATAAGTAATAAGGGTATATTTTATCTTGAGTTCTGTGCCAAAGTGCGTTAGCATTTTTTGCTCAGTGGTCATTTAGATGCTTCTTATGAGACTTGTGTTTTGTTTTGGTAAAAATTGTTTGTATCGTCAGTTAGCTGAGATTCTTCCCGTTAATCTGGTATAACACATTAATAGGTTCTTGAATATTAACATGCCCTGAGACACAGTGTCGTGAATAAATTAAAATGTCCCCGCCGAGGGGGGCTTTGGGGCTTAACAGGACGTTCTTATTATACATCCATGGGTTAAACAGGAAGTAGCAACAGGCTAGGACTATTAGCTGCAGGCTAGGCTAGAAGCCAAAGACAGGATCGGTATAAGTCTACCCAAAATGCTCCACCCATTTTAACTTTAAGATAAAGTTTTAAATGTTGTTATGTTTGTTCAGCTGTATGTTTTTGTGTATCTTAATTTCAATATTAAGAGCTTTTCGGAACATCACACTCCTCATCTGCCTGAACACACCAAGCTGACTGAGTCTAAAATCATTTTGAAACAGAAATGTTTTATTGTATTTGAGTCAATAGAGTGGCGAAGTCCCTCCCCTTCCGGGGGAGCTCCATGGGACCTTATTTTGGAAAAATTATGTATTGAAGTCAATGGAGAGAGAAAGATTATCTTTCTATCCCGTTTGAATTGTGCCACGAATTACACATAGGATGTTTGTCAATTTAAAAGATAATTTTGCAAGTCAAAAAAAAAAAAAGTGTCGTAAAACTTTGAAGTAACACCTTTTTTTTTGTGTGAAACACTTAATGAACTACATCTCTGGTCTCACAGACTCTCACAACAACACACGTCACCAAGGTGGCCATCACTACTGTCTTGTCAAAAAAGTGATTGACTACCCTCACTATCAACTCAATGAAATACGTCCAGAAGAATGTCATGCAAAGCTGCCTGCCTTCCTTTGATTCTCTCTGAACTGCCTGATCTTTTTAATGTTATCCATTTGTGCAGATAGCGTGAAGTAGAAAAGATCACCGATGCTAATGTAGCGTTAGCATTTCTCCCCCGGGCTTAAAAGGTGTATTATAGAATGATCACACCGGTGTGACAGTACTCTTCAAAGGGTTCACGAAATAAGGTTTTTGATTGATTGATTGAAAAGTTTATTAACAGCTTGTATATTGGGTACAGTACAGTACAGCTCAAAACATACAATTGTTAAGGGNACTTCATGTTAAGGCTAATAAAAATTACAAGGCTAAGACCGTAATGCTAACTAATGTGCTTGCTACTAGCTAGGTAGCTAACTTGATCCAGCAAGCCACTCCTGGACCTTTGATCAGACGGGAAGCGAAAGAACGAGCAAGACCCATTGCTGGTATGATAACAACCTGGTACTAAGCACACAGGCATCTTGTTAGAGTTATCTTATCTTAGCTATCTCTTATATTTAGCGCAGGAAAACAATTGTGACATCAGTTATGACATCACTTACACGACTCTGGGATTTGTAGTCTTTCTAGTTGCATATTTTATATTGTCTTGTAGTGATCACTTATTAATACACTGGGTTACATAATTCACCACGGAACTAAAGGTTGGGGGTATGGTTCCACACGGACACATTTGTTGACGGTACCTCCTGTGTACTTACTGTGTGCCCTTCTTTTCTTCTCTCTCTTGTCGTCCCGGGCTGCGACCCGACAACATCTATATTTCTGCTGCTCATTAAAGCCAGCTTTGTACCTTCATTGCACCGCCTCCGACTCCCTTCTCTCGGCACTACATTGTTGACCCTGACATAGTCTCGCGAAGTATCCGAGACTAAACACGGCAAAAAAACTCAGTTTTTTCTCGAAATGCCGGGGATGGGGTAAAGTGAACCATGGGCCTTGGGTTAAGTTGAGCCACTTTTTCAATGGAGAAATGAACGAAAATAGGCCAAGTTGATAATAAGAGCTCATTGTAGGCTACATTTAAAGTTGAATTTACCCTGTGTTTGATTGGTAAGATGTATGAAATTGTATCGCCATTTGTATCATTACTTTTCCTTTTAACATGTTAAAAAAGAAATCAATCAATTAATCGAAATTTATATTAAAAATATTTGAAAAACTAAACTTGTATTTGGTTTGTTATATATTGTTTAAAGTTACCTTTAAGATTTGTTGTAGGTATGCCCAGGTTTGAACAGGTATGCCCAGGTTTGAACAGTGGTTACCCCCTGACCTGGATCAACATACCCCTAACCCGGGGCAAGTTGAGCCACAAGACCACTTTTTTTTAAGAAGCAATATTTTCGCTGCCCTTGATCAAATATTAATTCCTATCATTGCCATTGATTAGAGACATCCTGAATTACAGGTGTGTGCTTTCATTTTACTATGTGTCATTTCTCCTTGCTTAGAGGACAGCATAACTAAAAAATGACTCAACTTACCCCACTCTCCCCTATATGGTTTTATTGTCCACAACGAGTTATTTGATCAAACTAGTCATTTTGATCATGTATATTCTATTTTCATAATAATATTGAACCTTTTGCATGTGTCTTTCTGTCATTATGGGGTAACTGCCCCTATAAAAAACAACTGATGTTTTCAGTGACATTACTACCACCATTTTGTCTTTCCTCAATGGAGGCTGAGACATTGGCTAGTTGCAGAGTAAGTATTTAAACTTATATTTCGTAATTGTAATCATATTATGTGTGTAGTTGGATGTTGTCAAGCTTAACATGTACACAGTCACCTTGCTAACTGAATCATGTTGCTAACTGAAAGTCCACCATGTGCTCATTAAATGCTAATATTAACCAAAAATGTCCACCCTGTCAGCAAGCCTTCCATGACAGGGTACAAATAGTTTGCCATAATTTAATTATTATCCAAATACTTTTTCCATTAACTGAAATATATTGTTGAGAAAGGGACTAAATAGCTTTCTGAAAATGTACATTTTATAATCACTATGTAATTACAATTTATTTACTCTACTTTGAATTTGTCCCATACAGGGTGGACACATTTTGCTGTTTGCATGTGTGGAGTCTATTTTTATATAACATTACAAGATTCTTATTATTACATTATTTGCTTATTGTGCTCATTTTATGTTGCTATGTTGCTGTGACTTAGGAATAAATGGACACAAACCTGAGGGAAGTCTCAAATGCACCGTATGGTGATATTGACTCATTTGTAGAATGGAAACTCCCCCAAGTTGCGTAAACCATTAAATTCCCAAAGCACTTCCGCATAAAGAAATATGTAATCTATGAGGTCACATTAACAGTTAAACACAGTTTCTGTTCATTAAAATAACCGCATTCATTGTGCTGATTCAATGTTAAAGGGCCCATGTCATGCTTTTCCAAATGGACCAATCCACGCAGCACCTCACACACCAGGATCCCTTGGCGTCACTATCTCGTCTACTACAGGGAGTCCCATTGACTTGCATAGAGCTCCCTGGTTGGTAATAGATGAGTTGGGGTCGCGGAGAAATGCTCTCTGCAGATCCATTCTCACAGCGTTATAAACCTTTTTCTTACTCAATATCAAGCCACACTTATTGTTTTTACTTCGGCTGTGAGTGTTTGTGTGTGCTCAGGATGAGTTTCGCTGTGTCTCGCTGACCCGGAAACAACACCGCCAGCGAGCTCACACTGCAGCAGCGAGCCTCGCAACGTCCCGACCAATCAGAGCAAACTGGGATCTAAAAATAAAGTTGGATGGAAATATTTAGTAGCTTTTTCTTCCCTGAATTATTTGCTCCAATAACATGTCATTGTTGATGTTCCGCTCAGAGCCGAAAAAAGCACTGTATTAGACATGGGCGGAGCCTCTCTGGTGGTTGACTAATCAGAACAGAGTGTGTGTGGGGGGGGGGGCAGGAGCTCCAACAAGCCGTTTAGGACAGAGAGTGAAATTCAGTGAATACACATACTATACAGAGATGCTGTATGAGAGAAACCAATGTGATTTTGGAAAATTGCACAATTTCAATATATTCTAGACCTCAACAATGGAATTATGATCAGTAGAAATGGCCATGACATGGGACCTTTAAGTGAATAACCGATTGGGCAACAACAGACCTTATTCAGATTCTGATGACTTCAAAACACTTTACACCTGATACCTGTCAGCCTCTTTAGCAGCGGTGCAAGTTCAGACATGTTTTTTGTACAGTGAGTGAATGCAGTCCGACTAGCGTGTGTGCCACTTATTTCACTCGTTTTCATTTTGTGTTGTGCCTGCGTGTTGCTCTCGTCTTATCTTCAGTAGGTTCCTCTCTAACTCACCAACCTGATAGCTGCATTGGCGTGACCTTGATAAGTTATTTTATTTGGTGGTAACTAATCTTTGCCTGCTAACTCTCAGGACAGGATTCTTGTCCAGACAGATATCTACATATATTCACCAGTTTTTACAAACCAAAGGGTTTTGGAGAAGTCAAAGTACATTTACTGTAAGGTTCTAGGCCCTTGTTCCTCTATTGAGAGTACAGCAGAAACTCTCACACAAGTCATTGTAAATAACAAGTTATTGTAAATGAGCTAAGTTACATTGATTTAGTTGCATGCTCTGTACTTTACAAATACGAGAGTATATTTGCCTTTTTGCAGCATTAAATGCATTTGAGAAGTAGTGAGCATACAACATGTTTGTGTAAAAATGTGTTTTGATATCGTCTTTCTGGGTTTTTTTTTCATGCAGGTTGGTTTGGAAATTAAGAATAATTTTCCTCACAACAATAATCACAAAATGACAACACAATTCGTTTTGACACACGACCCTTTTGAATAAATATTTCCCCACAAAAATATCTATCAATGATGATGTTTGTTGTTCAGTTACAAAAGAAAACAACACTGGAGAATTATTTTTAAAATACTCAAGTGGTCTGTTAACTTAGACACATTTAATCGAGGTAGAACCATCTGTATTATTTACACATTAACATTAAAAATAAATACTTTCATGTTATATACAAATAAATACAGTGATATAACCCTAGTTATAAAACGACTTCATGTTCCCTCTGTGTTTAGTTAAATATTACAGGATCTATAATAAAGTCACACTTACTTGATCATATTGAGAAAGCCAAGTTCAGGTTTATATATTTTATATTATATAATCTCCAAAAAGCCATTGATTAGATAAAGCTTCTGGGATTCATTGTTTGGGCCGTACATGGAATGTGCTCAGGGTAAAGGTGGGTTAAGCTCTGCTGGAGGTAATGTAAGGCCATCGGAATAGTTATAGTAATAAAGATAAGTTGTTGCCGTAACAAGTGCAAAGGGCTAAAAGGAGAATCTGTGGGACTTTCAAACAAAAATCATGTACTAAAATACTATTCATGCTGATATGATGCAATAATTCGTATATTTATGTTCCAACTGCATCGTTTGTGTATTTTGTTTAAGTGAGAAACACCAGGATGTTTTCTAGAATAACAAGAATTTCTGAGTAAGAGAAGTTAGGTTACTTAACTGTTAAGTATAAGAGTATGTTAAGCCTTAACATACTCAACTGACGCACAGTGCATGGCGGCTCCTCGGACGGTACAATGGTGTGGTGCACTGCACAAAAATGAACGGTTACAATAACTGATTATGAATACAGCTGAGTGAAAGCATGGGAACACATAGGTTATCAAATAAGACATATTACTTGAGTTAACTTGAGTGTGAACAGTCTTTTGGTCATGGCCTTATTAATTGTTAATTTAGTAGGCAGTATAGAGTACATACAGATTGACTTTGTGGTACTATGCAGTAAGTTTGTATATTGTTTCGAACACAGCCCAGGCCTCATCTCTCTTAACCCTTAAAAGCATTTGTTTTTCCTGAAAACAAGATAATGACAAACAGCAGAGTTGAGTTTGAGTAAAGTAAAGGTTAGTGGGGAGCCAGAAGATAGAATTAGAGTTGAATGCAAGTAAATATTGGACTTAAAATGTATGTGTTTTTTTAAACATGACTTATTGCTGTGTGTTTGCTGGGTGTGTAACCAGGCAGTTGTTTGATGACAGGCAAGCCAGAACTTCACGATCAGTTTGTGGTACATAAATCAAAGTTGTCTATTTTGCTTTGGTAAACATTCAGATTTGTTGATGTTGTGAAATCTCTCTGCACCAAGCTAGTTTGGCAGTGTTAAGACATTTCCTCTGTGCTGCACTTCTGCCAACTTCAACATCCTGTCAGACTTTCTGAGTTCTGCAGGGTCAGCAGACATATTCGGTCTGGATTTTCCTGGAAGCTGAATCTTGGGTGTCTCATTGCTGTCTAGATCTCAATAACTGGAGGTGGCATGTAAGAAAGAAAACGTATGATGCGATTGGGCAGATCCAGCTTGGAAACAACTTCACATGCTCTTATGCCGAGAGCCCCTCTCACAGCCACTCTGCTGATCTGCTGTAGACTGAGAGGGGTATCTATGGAAGAGAAAGTCAAAGAGGTGACATTTTATCTGTGCTCTTAGATAATTTATATTTTTAGCAGTGACAGGAAGCACACTTCAAACTTACTCTCATAGAACTCAAGGGAGAGATACGAGGGAGATCCCAGACTGGTGTAGTGGATGGGCTTTTTTTTCAGATTATCCCTCGCGTACACGTTCACCCCAAACTCCACAAGTAGATCGATCAAGTCGACGCTCTTAGTTTTGGCTGCGTGATGAAGAGTTGTCTCATGTAACGTTGCAGCATTCACATTTGCCCCTTTGGGAAAGAAAGACACGCAAAACTGTATGAGAAAGAAAACACTTTTCTTGTCTATACAAACTGTGTATTTACAAAATGTATACTGCCATGACATCCAGTTAGAATATAATAGCCGTAAGCATAACAAACCAATACAAGGCACACTATAGGCGAGGTGCACACAGTTTTGTGGTTGCTTATCAACAGACAAGGACATTTGAGGAAAATGTGTAAATCTCAATTAACTTGAGTAAATAAGGTGTTTTACAAAATAAATCCTTATATATACACTGTATCTTACAGAGATATTAATATAGTAACATGATTTATTTATGATAACAAACTTTAGCAATATCGGGATGTAATTGGAAAATTATTCTTAAAGTTGCCTTGAAATACATAATATATTACAAAAGCACAGATAGCAACAATCATTAAAGGTCCCATGTCATGCTTTTCCGGTTATTACCCGTCCCCTTCTGTGTTATGAAGGTTTTTATCCATGTAAACTGTCTGCAGAGTCAAAAACCCTCAAAGTACACCCTGTAGGGAGTAAAACTCTAACACAGAAAAGACCTCCCCAAAACGCCTCGTTGGAGATTTCTCATTTTCCAATGTTTTCTTCCTGGGTATTGCTTACGTAGGGATACCCAGTAGCCACACCCAGAGCTATGGCCGCACCCTCTGCCAGCCGATACTGTTGGAAGCTCAGGTTCAGTTCAAAACTGTATCCAGTCATGCCAACGAGCGTCTATTTCCTGTCTTGTGAAGGGAAATCTTCAATGTATGCTTTACCGAGGGCAGAACCACGATGAAGTCAGTGGTTGACATTTCTTGTTAACACCGTTCCCTCAGATGTTCGAGCTGGTATTGTACTGTGTGCGTGGCATTTCACGGACCAAAGCTTCGCAAACCTTTCAGCCATTCATGCCGGATATGCACAGCGTAGGACACTGAAGGACGATGCTGTTCCTACTTTGTTTGGACCAGCGGGAGAATTGGGTACACAACCTGTAAGTATGCATTGTTGTTTGTAGGGGTGTAACGGCATCCGTATTCGTCCCGTACCGTCACGGTTCGGACGTCACGGTTCGGCACATGCAGTCACACGACGAATACGCCTTTTTTTTTAGAGTGGGAAGAAGGTCTGTCATTCAGGGAAGTATCCATTACACTATTTATAATCCAGGGGGCGTCATTGCGCCTGAAAGCTGTTTGCCAGCCGCCCTTAAACAACAAATGAAGAACAAGAAGAAAACACAAGAAAACGAACGAAATACAAGAAGAAGAAAAGTTAGTATGGCGATTTCAGATAACACACAGGAGCTAGAACCCACCTGCTTCTTTTAAATCAGCTTTGTGTAGGAACATTTCGGGTTCCCTGTGGACTACGATAACGATGGAGTGCGGGTGGTGGATCGGATGAGGACGGTGTCGGCGTTGTTTGACAGCGGTGTGGTATGCTAATGGTAACACACGCCAAACATGTTAAATCATATCATAAGGCATCACCCAGATCACCGGAGCTCGGCAAAAGACAACAGCAGTTCAACAGCTGTTTTTAAGGGTGCATTCACACCAGCCTTGTATAGTGCTGTTGAATCGAACCCTGGTGCGTTTAACCGCTTAGTGCGGTTCATTTGGGTCGGTGTGAACGCAGTCCGAGACCTCTTAAGTGAACTAAACAACCGGACTCTGGTCCGCTAAAATAGGTGGTCTCGGAGCACTTGCTAGTGAACTCTGGAGCGGTTCATTGCTGGTGTGAACGCAGTCCGCACCAAAACATAGGAAGCCTAGTATTTACGTGTCACAAGAACGCGGATATCTTCAAAATCTTTAGCGAAAGAGTCTTTCAAGACATCCGCGGTTGTTTAGTTAAAGAGTGAAGCAGAATTAAGTGTTGAACAGTGTCGTGTAATGTAAATATTCTCCGTCAGCTACATAAAAGTAAGAACACCTGTCGTCGGTGAAACGCCCCTCCTTACTGCAGAACGTCTCATTATATGTGTTATAATGTTTTTTAACGGACGTTGTCTGATTATATAATCATATGCGCGGGCCGCTAGTGTCTGTTGATCTCCAGATTAACAGTAGCATGAGAATAACCCGCCGAAAGTGCAGATGCTCCATGGCGGAGGCTCCGATAAAAATTGCCGCGATTTGCGTTTTTACCCCCTTAATGTCTGACCAATGGTTGAACAGCATTTCCGAGCACATGACTTGTGTTTAAAGTTTATAGTCCGTTTGAGTTTTACCCATGTGAACGCAAACCGAACCTTCTGAAAAATGAAACAATGTAACAAACTGTCGTCTGCTGCGCACCAGAGAGCGGACTATTAGGTGTGAATGCACCCTTAGTCTGTCTTAGAAAGTCTTCAACCGTCTAAGAAAGTCTTCAACCGTCTGAGAAAGTCTTCAACCGTCTGAGAAAGTCTTCAACCGTCTAAGAAAGT